AAAATCTAAATATCTTTCAAAAGGTAAAAGCCAATGCAATAATGTAAATAACACAAAGTATTTGTTAACCCACAAAACCATCAAGGGAACAACTAGGGGCGTAAGCGAGAAAGAGTAACAATCCACTAACAATTGTTAAGTACAAGAAATATACGGGCATGAGCTCAACTACACACAATAGGTAGCTTATGTAAGGTTTGGTTTTGAAGTATATATAAGCTGATATTGATGATGTGGTTATGCGAAGTGTTTGTATCGTGCAGGAAGGTGTTGAATGCAAAAGTTTTGTATGGTGCGATGATGTTGACATTAAGAGGTTTAGAGGAGGGAACAACACACAAGTGAGGGAAGATACCATAGCAAGACACACTCGTAATGGAGGGAAGACAATCAATCAAATGACTCGTTAGTTTAAATCTACGTAGCTACAAGTTGCATATATTGTGAATATGCTAAAATGAATAAAAGACATGTTGTTGATCATCTGTATTTTGATTGTTGTGAATGTGGTTTTCAATTTGGTTAAAAAAATGAGCTGCTTAGAAAAGTAGTTTAAACCATGTATTTGTTGTCTTGGTGACCAAAATATGTAGTTTGTTGTTAAAAAGGAGTTGTTATGGTTGTAATTGGGAAATTATTTAATGCATAAAATCTTGGCATGTAAATGTTGTGGTTCCAATGAAAGAAACATGTATCTTAAAACTTTCAATTGAATTTTAGCCATAAAACATATGAATCATATATTCAAAAGCAGAAGTAACTTACTTAAAACTTGTTGGGCTAAGTTTATTCAAATTTTACCCATGTATCTTTGAGGCCTAATCTCTTTATACACAAAACTAAACGGGAAGAAGGATGAGAAAATACCCTTGAAGCTCATCTTGGTTAAACCAAGTTTGAACACCTTGTGCAAGGCCTTCTTTCTTCCTTGAACTTGTAGAGATTCTTCAATAAAGGCACCAAAAGGAGATGCCCTATATTTTACCACACCAAATGCAAAGAGAGATGAAGAAGATATCAACCACATGATAGCGGTGATAGACTCCCTCTTGGTGGACCGATTTTAGCTAAGCTGAAGGATAAGATTTCTCCTTCTTTTCAACACCACAACCCAATTTCTTAGGAGGCTCAAACCCTAACTTGAGAATAGCCTAAGTATGGCTTATAAAGCCAACACATAAGATGAAGAGTATTCCCAATAGAGAATTTCAGCCAAGGTGGTGTTTGGACTCCTCTTGGGCTCATTTAACTTTTATTGTCATACAACACATATTCCTAGACCTAATGGGTCATTGGGATATTTTGCTCTTTGACCCAAAATACCTTTAAAGCCCAAATTGAGTCCAACTGTCAAACTAACTTCACAATTAACATTTTTAATTATGATTTGTGACTTACATTTAGGTACTGTGTTTTACAATACAAATGTATAGTGCCCTCAAAGACAAACAACATAGCCACAAGACATCTATAATGTCTCAGGTCAAATAATTAGTTTGCACCATTGCAATCTATGAGTTCTAGTTTGACACGTGAGTTAAGACTTTCATTCTAGAACTCATGTATTTGATCACGTTCAGTGTACTTATTCTCTTGCAAGCACCTACGCACATATTTTGGTGTCGCCACACTAAATGACTTGAGACCTCGTCATTCTCTACATATAGAGACGCAACTGTGTATACTGGTCTTGGCAAAATATCAACACCCAATTAATACTCCTATGACCATAAACATATTTAGGATTAGGGATCATGATAAGTCTCGATGTATGCAATCTCATTACATAATTCTCATGTTCACTTATATATTCCTAGGACTATAGTTGTTTTACTGTTATGATAATAGATAAAATATCATGGTTGAAAACAACTGGTGCCGATAAATAACTTAATAAGTTATTACAAAAGATGTCCTTAACATTAATTATCATGTATTTAGTTAGCTTTAAGGGCATACCACTAACAACCAGTACATGTATTTTATGTTTTTTTTTTTGTAAGGTGAATAGCCCATATAATTATTATATATATAGAGAGAGAGAGAGCTTCTATTAAGGGATCCCTGAAATAAACTTATTTGAGGGACACCCTTGTAGGGCCCAATTACACATTGTTTCTCAATGATCCAAACCGTCTAAGTTTTAGATACTCCATCAAAGATCATCTCTCAAAAAATCACTTGAATCTGAAACCATTTGACCAGTTAATTAGAGGATTGTTATTTTAGTTTTTCTTGAAGCATTCATCTATTTTGTTGCTTGCAATTAGATGGCTTAATGATTTTTAATTTTTCTGAGTTTTTGCAAGGAATATGAATGAAGACTTGAAAACTAGACGGTTTGGATCATTGAAAAAAAAATTGTAGGGCAGCCTAAGGGGAGCTCTATATAAAAAAAAAATATATATATATATATATATATATATATATA